AAATGGTTGAGGTGCCTTCCAGAACTGTGTTATTGCTGAGCACACTGTGTTTCAGAAGTTGGCTTAGAAGATACATACAACGTTGTATATTTTTTCTTTTGCATTTTCTTCTCAGTCGTGATTTTATTTTCTTTCTCATCTTCTTTTTCTGTAGTGTCAAAGCTGGATTCAGCTGTTAACCTATAGGCAAAGCAACCATTCTAAATACATATTTTGTTATTAAAAAACAGGGCTAAGACAAAAGTTTCAAGCAAAGTCAACAAGCCAACTGGCATACAAGACCATCCATATGCAGAGCAAGCAGTGCTTAAGGGTAAACTGAGACTAAAATAAAGCATGTTTATATCAGTCCTAGTCACATCTCATCACTTAAAGTATCGCCTTCCCCTCCCATGCCCTTATCTACTGAAATGTTTGGTAAAAAAAGGTTACAGAATGTGTTAACTGGTTGGGATCAGCCTTTAAGCCCCACAAATGCACAGTGCCTGTGCCATGAACATACAGGAATCATTCACTACAGCACAACTCCAAGTGGAAAGTCCCAGCAATGGAACCCAAACATGATGAAGTCAAACATTCTGCTTTCACACCACCAAATCAAGGACTACCCTGAAAGCAATGTACTAGTTTCCCCCTAGTGCTGCATTACTACTGCCTTTATCTTAAGGCCCAAGTATTTGAAACCAAGTTGTAGGAAAACAGTTGTTTTCAGGCTCTAAATGACATCATTTGCCACTGACACGTTTTAATTCTGCTGTGACTGTAAAAGGGAACACAACTGCCACACTGCTGTTAGAGGCAAGGTAAAACTGAGATTTAGACATCCGAGCACAATTGAGTGTTTTGATTACTTCAGAATTACTTCATAATCATATAAATGTGCCATTAGAACAGATTGATGAATAATGGTATTCACTCAACCAAATCACCTACAATGAGTTGACTATCATACACAATCCCACAGCCGGACAGATTGTAGAAAATGAAGTTCCAAATGAAACATCGCTTCACATACCAACACAAATTCTATGCTAATCCATCACCATAAAAGCAACTCTTTAGTGCCTTTGTGGATTTCTAGTGATCTCAAGAGCCTCCAGTGAGCAACCTCCAGCAATACAGCTGCTTTCAGCGATAGGTTTCCAAACAAGAGTAGCTGCTACTCAGCTGCTGGAGATGTACTTGCAACAGAGAGATATACAGCTGAAGATCTACAAGCAATCTACATATTATAACTCAACAGACTGAAAAGAAGCTATGCTTTGCTGTGCATTCCCCTAGGGCAGCAGTGTTGCTCCACCATTCCTCTGCAGTAAGTCCGCACCTGTAATTCCAATGGGTAACCATTTTTGTCTATGGTTGGCTTTTCCCCAGCTGCTCTCCATTTTAGATGTGCTGCTGCTCGCAAGTAGCCCAATAATCATGTGGTTACCCCAAGAAACAATTATCCAGAAAAGGAGAAAAAGTCTATTCTTGGTAAGTGGTCCTGGTTAGTGTTTAGTCTGCAGTTCAGCCTATGCTTCCCTGGCAGCTGTAACTAGGGATGGAGAGTTTGTTCCTGTGGTAGATGCTCTTCATTTGTTCCTCCACTATGCTACCTCAAAACAACCTCTGTCCAAGGCCACCAGAAACAGTACTGCAGTAGCCATAATTTCCAGCAACAATTCCCTCTATAAATCCAGAACAAATAACTCCAAAAGGCCAAATAAAAATTGGATTGACTCAAATTATGTTCTAAAGCAACACAATTGGATTTACACAAAATACTCCCTTTCTACATTATTAGATAATTGTTGGTGTACAGTGTAAGAACTGTGGAAATCAAATTCACAGCAGAAACACAACATTGTTTCATAGCAGTAAACAGCTGTTAGAATCTGTTACTTGAAGAGAGAAAAGAACCATCTTTGTATGCTCCGAATGCACACCAGGATGGTTACACAAGCCTGCAGTGAGTTAACTCCTCAGACTACAGCTATCTTAGTAAGTACCTGAAGTGATTTTATCAGAGGACTGACTGTGGCTTATGAAGATGAAATGAGCCATTTCATGTTATAAGCTTCACTTTTAAGTTAGTGACAGCTTTTTTCTAAATTAGCAATCAACTGCCATAATCTGCTTCACTTATGAAAACCTTAATTCGCAGCAGTGAGTATTCAGAAATGCCTGAACATTCAAATCATTAAGCTTTAATGTGACAATGGACAATCCAAGCAAATAATTTTTTTCTCTTCCATTCTTAGTATCTTATAGTTGGCCTGCAAATGCCTCAGGATGATTATTCTGCAGCCTGAGTTGTTGAACCACACTTCCCTTACCATACTGAATTAATTCTTGTTACAAAGAACATGTTTTACTAGCATGTGACAGATCATGTCTACAGGCTGCTACATATCACAAGAAAAGGGACAACTGAGTGAGGTGACAGAGTTAACACTCTCAAGTGAAGAGCTGAGCATCACCTTTTGAAATTAGGTCTCACGGAGCTCAAAAATCAGCAGATTAGTTCTTTTCTACCAACCTTTATAAAATAATGAAGGAGGAGCAGCAACGACCAAGTGTTACAAACTCACTGCAACCCCCATTCCGCTTGTGCCACTTGGAAAGAAGGAGGTAGAAGTTGGGAATGAAGGAGTAACATTGAACCTGGAAAGAAGGGCTGAGGGCCAGCAGGGAGATAATTTTCCACTATAGTCCCACTATTTGTAATTGGCAATGAATTCCCCAGCTAATCCCCAAGTCTGATTTGCCCATGACTAATTGATCCCTGTCTTGACCTCAACCCACAAGCTTTTTCCACCTTCTTTTCTCTCCCATCTTGTTGAAGAGAGGGAATGAGAGCAGCTGGGTGGGCAGCTGGCAGCAAGACAATGTTAACACACCACAGCCCTCATACCAAGGCCAGCTCACAGCATTGACCACCCCTTAACAGCATTGGCATATTTCATCAGGTGTTAGCACAAGGCAAGCGATGGATCAGAAAGGAGAGATGACAGTTAAACACTCTAACTTGAAAAACCAAAAAAAAAAACCCAAACAAAAACCACTTGTGAAACTATGACATGATTCTATCAAGATTTGACTTCACAGGCTCCAAAAACTAAATGTAATGGGGGTTCCTTCTATCCACTCAAGGAAGATCAACTAGTGTCATCAGATGGAGCTTTACTTTCTGAGGATGAACACCATGACTTAAACTCCAGTGTACTAGTTATCCACGTCTCCTGCTGAGCCAAGTGGCTACAGGCATTTGGACCATGTTCAAATGAGGTGGATTTGGTATATGTAATCCAACTAAAAAAGCAAATAAGCTCTTAGGCACACAAACCCTTCTTGAGCTCAAACTAAAGCAGACAAGCTCAAATCTAAAGGCAAACTAAATTGGGCAGCAAGGTCTGGAATTTGCTGTACCAGTGTAAAACGTGAAGAAAAGCATTACACTTCTGCATTGAATCTTTTTACTGACCAGCTGGCCTAACAAAAGCTACCGCTGCCTATAACCTTTGCATTGCCTGAATTACAGTAGCAATTCATAATTAATAATGGCTTAAAATTTCCATCTTTAGTCTCAAGTAGTATGTTCTCAATACCCACATGCCATAACCTAATCATCATGATCACCTAATCCAGTATTCCAGTGTTTACTCACTTTAAGAACACACACATGCCCTGCAGATACAGACAGATGCTCTTAGTTCCAAGTTACCCAGCCTCATCTTACTCAATTACATCAGCAAAGAAGCAGCTTCAAACAAGGAAATCTGTCACCCATACCAGTACATACAGATCACTTCTGACCACTTCTTCATCACCCCCTCAGCAAAGACAACAAAGCTTTTCAAACCACCTTTCCTAGAAATGAAGTCTGCAATCCTTTCATAGTTACTACGATTTCTCACTGCCACATTTCATAGATCAGCGATGACAGAGCTAGGCTAATGGATGCACAAAAACTACTCCACTTGCAAAAATACCCCCCACTGACCACAACAGCCTTTTCAGCTAGAGCATCACAAAGTGAAACATTGACAATTACCCACCATGCACACGCCAATTATTCTTTCCTCCCCAAAGTCTCCATTTTCAGGTCCACATTCCTACCCGTATTTTTTTGTGTCTTTGCATTTAGCTTGTATTCCTATCTAGGGTTTGGCCACATCCACCACAGAACACTCCAGGCATTTAGGGTTTAGAAACCCAGCCTCTCAAATACTCAGATTTTACCAGGATTTCTTATTTCATAATAAATAATAACGGTTCAGGGTTAGGTAAATCCTCAATCTCATCATCGCTAACTGGGGAGTTAGTAGATCATTAACATAAAGATGCAAATGGAACCTTCTGTCTGGATTTGCTTTTCACAGGTTCATACCACCACTGAAAACAACTTAGAAGCTATTGTGTTGGCGATTTTACTTTTTAAACCTATTGATTTATGTTTTGTTTCTTATTGAGCAAACAGCAATGGGTGCAAGATTAGAACCCTCTCTCTGAACTGACTTCACCTTCCTCTTGTACTTTTCCCACTCACTCTGCTTTCAAACATGAACTGCACAAAATACTTTCCTCACTCCCTCTCTCTGGTAGGTTTCCCTTTCACTTCACATAAACTGTTTCCAACAACTTCCTGTTGGCAGACACTGGATCTTCGTTTCCAAAAGAAACAGGAGGAAATCAGGTAAACTCTTCACACTCTGGTTACATGCAATCTGTTCCCTGATGTGTACAGAACACTGCCAAAACACAAGACCATCACTAAACTATCCAGCCTTTCCTCACAACTTGCACCCCCCTCCCCGTTTGTGCTTTCTGATCTTTCCTCCTCGGTAAGTCCCCACATATTTTGACACTGCTACTTAAAGTGTCAATTCTGCCATATTCTTTCTAGACTGTTTCAGAACATTGTACTGTTTGGTTACTTTAAAACTATTAATTGTATCCAATGCAACCTTCAATAACTGGTTTGAGAGTCAATATCAATCCAGTTACGGTCAAATGCCACTGACTGGGGTATACCATACAGATTCCCACGTTATGCCTTCCTCTATCTCTGAAGCTGCTGTCATTCTAGAGTCAATAAACTATTTTTACTAGCAGACATTAACAAATTGTAAGCTCAAAGTACCTAAATTATCCCAGATTTCCCTCCCCACAAACACTCAAACATGTGTTTACAAAGATTATAAGTATGAACAGAATACAAAAGCAACAGCTGAAAAAGAGAAAAGAAATCAGCATTCCTTTTACCAAGGTAAAAAAGTTTGAGCTAATTATTGTTCTAAGTTACTTCATATATCAAAAAGTAACTGAAATTCTCAGTTCAGGGGGAAAACTTGATCTTAATTTACCGGTTGTGTTTCTAGTTATCATGAATCCAGATTATGGAAGTCATTTGTCTGACAAAAAGCATCATAAATTGTCTGCTTTCTTGTACAATGCAAATTCTGTTCTTCTAATTCAGGTTAATAATTACTTAAATAATCTCTGGGTTTTAGCTAAATCTGGTAGTTGATGAGGGCTAAAATCCAGTCAAATTGAAGCATGATAAGTATTGCCTTTATTACTTTGATATGTAACAGGCATGTGGTAGCTCAGAAGGGACCAAGAAAACAGAAGAGCTATTTGTGACGTTAGAGCAAACAGGGCACGCTGTCATGCTACGTGCACACCTTCACCATTCTCAAGCAGTGCAAAAGTTTTTTCAAAGACTGTTACAGTTTCAAGAGTCTCTTTTATTAGTCATCATCTTAGTCTTTCTTAAAGGTACTGAGAGGTTCAACGCAGGCAGCCGGAGCTGAGGAATTACACTGCATGCAACACTGAGGAAATAGATAAAGAAGTGGATAGCATAGTTCATGCAGCGAAAGAAAAGAGATGCAGGTCTGTGCTGATTGCCTTGACCATAGACAGAAGCTGACACTGACCTGGGGGCAGCTGAAGTCAAGGAATTGCTTCCACTTCCGCTACATGAAGTAAAGGCATCATGATTCTTATCTTCAATTTTGACTCTCTTCCTTTCTTTTTCAGGTTCAACTACTTTCTGCATTACTTGAAGAGCCATATTCATTGGCACTGCTTCAGGAGCGTGTTTTTTTGGAGAAGCGCCGCTTTGCTCCAAGTTCTTAGAAGTCATCTTTATTTCTTCCTTACTTGGCAACTGAATAAGGGCAGCTTCTTTTACTGAAGTATTTTTGCTGTCCAAGTATTCACAAGTACTGTCCACTGGAATCTTCTCCCTCCTCTTTTTAATATTAGTGCCTTTAAGTAATTCTAAGAAAAAAGGAATATATTTTTCGTACACAAGTGAAGCTGGAGTTAACTTGCCCATAAATATGTTCAGAATGAAGCTAATAAAGAACATTTTACATGACTAAAGACCTTGGAATAATTCTTAATAGACAATTCGCATCCTTTAAAGACTGTCCTTGATCTAATTTGTTACAGTAAGTAAGCATCCCAGTAGACGTTAGGTTGAAAGAGAGACAAAACTCTCTCCCCACTCACTCCACCTTTTTACCAAGGCTTTCTATTAGATGACCTGAACTACAAGAGAATACTCTATTATGTTATTTCCATTTTGGAGGCTGCTGAGGTAAGCTTCCACAACTAGGTTTTCAAAATTAAATCCTTTGGGCATGGACACAGAACCAAATGCAATTCACCCCTCTGGTTCCCCATTCATCCTCCTCCACAGGCTGCAACTTCCTTGTTTCTGCACATACCCAGCTATCAGCTGTTTTTTGAGTGAGCCTCTGTTGTCAAAACTTAATCCACATTAACTCGAGCTACTAAGCATTTTTTCCTTGAAATACTTTACACAAAGCTCCTTCCAGCTGCCTGCATTCAGAAAGCCAACACTTCTCATCAACAGACAGATACTGCTACTCTGATGAAAAGCATCTCCTGAGAATCTGTTCCTACCTACTTGACTGTGGTTATCTAGCTACACTATAAACTCTAACATGTACTCTTTTGTCTCCCAATATCAGTGTTTGTATATATACTGACATATGGTCCTTGAGAAAGATAGGACTTTACTATTTCAGTTCAGTAGGTTTTGGAGCAGGTTATTATCAGAGAGGCAGTCATTTAAATATTATTTCATATCTGAATTAGCCCAGTGTTTCCTGTTTAATGTCATTCACCTTGTAAAGGTTGAAAAGACCAGAGATTGCATTTTTCCCCATACAGGAAAGTAGTATTTACCTTCAGGTTCATATTTCATTTTTAGCTCATCCAGCATAACTCGCAAGTTCATATTCTCACTCTGACAAACTTGCAAATGCCTCTCATTCGCAAAGAGCTTCCTTTCAACCTCCAGAACTCTTTGGCTCTCATGCAGAGCTTTCATCCTCTGCAAAGATAGTTCATTTTTCAATGTTTCTGTTTCCTTGCTGGGGTGGGAGGAAAATGATACAGTTATGCGGGTTTTTAGTAAAGCAGTAGAGACAAAGTCAACTCAGCATTCAGTGCATAAAATTTGGGATTATACTCTAGCAGGAAATGCAAGAGACCTAACACAATGAAAGTTTTCACTTGACCTTCACATAGAACAGAGAGTTTAGTTACCAGAGATAAAACTCATGTTAAAAACAAAGCTGTATGCTGGCTTAAGAAACCTTCCCTAACCTACAAATTCACTCTTTCACTGGGGGTTTCCTAGTATAAGTTTTCTGTGCATAAATTACTATAATTACTCCTGTAACTGACAATACAAACTTTACACAGAGATGTTACTCCAAATGCCCAACACAAAACCAGTTAATACTTATTGCATGTCTTTGCCTCTGTTTCAGAGGCCATTAACTTCCATATCATAAGCGCTGAATCAGCATTCCTCAGCGATTCCAAAATACTTGGGTCATGCCAGTTTTTCATAACAGCACCAGGGTGAGGCAACAGACTTATCAGGAATTCCTGTAGCAGACCCATGGCCTCCTGTTGCATGTGCAATACTTCCATCTGAGGGCTTAAAAACAGTCCTGAATACTATGGACTTTCTAATAGATAGATATGGAACTAGCTAGCCAAAGAACATAAGTAAAGAGTCCAATAAAACATTTCAAGTGTTATTATCTGGCTCTTTTTAGAAGAGAAATACATACGTACAGCCTATAGTCTCGAAGAAGCTTAATACAGTTTCCTTACAGATTATTTTATTTAATTCTCAATTATCTTGTATCTAGAAGCATTAACAACAATTCTAGAAGGCTGCAAGAATTAAAAGTAGTTCTGCTGCTATCTTTTGCAACAATAACTAAAACCAAAACAACTCAGTCCCACAGCATTAGAGAATAAGACAATGAGTATATTCACACATACAGTCAGTGGATTACATACAAATAGTAACAAAAAAAGGGAGAATAAACCCAAGTGGCTAGAAGATAACCAGACTACAAGCAATATCTAGGCCTCAGACCATTAAGTACTTACTTTGAGTTGTCAAGTTTCATTTGCAGTAAATCCACATAGTAACCATCATCAGACTCCCCTCCTTTTGAGCTACTACTAGCTCTGGATTCTTCCATATTCTCATACAAAGTCTGATAAAAAAAAAATCAGGTTGTCAAATATGGACTTTTCAGAAGCACTTTATCTCAGTCTTCATGTGATAGTTTCCATGTATTTCTACGGAGAAGCCTTATCATAGAGGCATTTCAACATACAAGAGAGCTCAGTTGCTCCAAGTACTTCCCTATTGGTTACAAATGTCAGATAGTCCTGAAACTGACAGTTCTCTCTCATTCACTCAAAGAGAAATACAAAAAGCAAGTTAGCCCAACCCCAGAAGGTTTTCAAGTAGCACTGAAGAACAGTTATCTTCCTGTTTACTAGAACATACAGATCATTTTGTTAACCTGCAGGGTTGTTTCTGTCTTTATTTCTAGGCTTCAGTAGCTGGACCCCAAAGGAACACAACTGTCAAACCCTCAAAATCAGCTACACCTTTTAAAGAAGAGAGTTGGTTCATAGTAAAGATGCCATAAACACAATAAACTTCCCATAAAATACAGCAGTAACGTGACATTCTGGGGGAAGCTGTTTTGTGGGGGGTTTTTTGAACAAGCAGTACTCACGATTTAATACTACCAGTACTTTAGATGGTTATTTAATCAATTATTTAATTTCCTGACACGACTTATCTATGGCACAGAGACAAAAAAATACTCATCAAGCTTATACATTGCAGAAGTGGTAAAGCAATTGAGCTGTCTAATTGCTCACTGAAATAGGTTAAGCCTAGCTTTACGCCACCCTGTTTAAATGCAGAAAAGAGGATGCATAAGCTAATACAGCTAAGTTTACATGCCAGAGCTGTGATAAGAAATTACCAAACTAGTCCATATGTATGCAAAAAAGCTACAGGTTTTAACTCTGTATACACACAAACCTCAGTAACATAGTGCATACAGGTCTTACAGTATTTTGGAAGGTGAAAAATACAACAAGGTGCTACCAACTTGCATAAGAGGACTGAAGAAATTGCTTTAAAGGATGATGAAGCAATTCAGTTTTTCTAGAAAAGGGCATACTTCAACTGCAAAGTTGAGACGCATGGGAAGAATAAACATCTAAGAAATCCAATATAGCTGAGAAACTGAAAAGTGGTAAAGCCAAAGAACACACAGTCAAAGGGTGAAAGGGTTGTGTCTTTGAAGAGAAAAATCAGATGTCAGCTCAGTGACCTTCGCCACATAATTGAATTTAAAAAGTACAAGTAACTATGTAAACTACGATGGTGCTACACAGGAACCCAGAAGAGATTGTTTTCTAACCAGGGACTAGGTGGTGTAGAATTTCCAGCTTCTCTGAGCTACAGAAGTGTATGTTCTCCAGCTGTGAAATGGAACTTTGGTCAAATAAAGTCATTTGGATCCTTTTCAAACCTTATCATGGACTTCAAATAGTTTCAATAATTCTCCTTATTCTCATGCTTTAGCTTCTGATTATGACTTAGCCACTTAATTACAGACCACATACCTTAAATCTTTCTAGCTGCCTCACTTTCATAAGCAGATCTTCAATCTCACCATTCTTCTGTTCTAACATCGACTGCAAGCGTTCCAGCTGCTCAAATTCTGCCTGAGAGCCTTTTAGCTGGAGCAGTGTAGCCATTTGCAGCTAGGAAAAAAGGGAAAACAAAACCTTTAAACAAATACTGGGTTAAGTAACTGAAAACCTCAGCCTCTAACCAAGAAGAATTAGGGTACTGAAGCCTTGTAATTTTAATCCTGAATATAGTCTTCACAATTACCACCATAGGTTGACACTAGAAATCTTTAGAACAGCTGAAAACTTACAGAACAGACTAGTCCTGAGGTGTCATAACCTTCTGCATATTGACTTAAGAATCTATAAATATTCTATCAATGACACACACAACATTTCACATTCAAACCATGAACACCAAGTCACCAAACTCCAGTCCAGGTTGTTTACGAGAGCTGAAATGCACCTACTAAGAACATCTTTCTTGGGAAAGCATGCTCTAGTTCATCAATGAGTTTAAAAACCTTTTTTCTGCAGTCACCCTGATTCTGTGGTATAGATAACACTAAGTTTGCCCTCTGTAATACCAGTCCAAGAATTTTAGCTGTTCCTTTAGTGGAGCACACCCTTTCAAGCAAGGAAACACCCTCTGTCATTACAAAAGGAAAAGTTTATCAATGAGTATTGCATTTATAGCAGATTTTTCCAATGCTATTAACAATATCATCATAGTACAAGGGCATTAATGCCTTCAGTTCAAAGTGATACATCAGAAGTTCAAACATGTGGAAAAACAACATGAAATGCAGTAACAGAAAGACTTAGCAGGGAGTTACTGATAACTGTAGTACTTTTCCCGCTCCAGTCAGTACGGATAAGGTACCACTGTAGGACACTTGGAGAAATCACAGGGAAAGGATCAACTCAAACAAATTAAGACTACAGATTAACAGAGAAAGATAGAGAAGAGCATTTACCCTACAGAATCTCCTATATCAAGTAACGGAGACCAAAGATTCTGTACACCAACTGCAGCTACAGAAAGATTGAGTCACCTCCTCCTCATGGCTTCTACAGGATATAAAGGGAGGCAGATTTTACCCCCCACTAGCTGACTAAAGCTATGCTTACATTTCCCAAGCCTGCAGACATTAACCTATTCCCCTTCTGCTTACAAGCCCATTTGCTAACTGGCAGAACTGCAGATTGCAGTTGATCTACATAAAAACAAAGAACAGAAACTGGAAGGGATACTGTGGGTTGTGGAAAATACACCAGACAGTAAAACTTTCCCAATAGCACTGCAGGTCTTCAGAAGTCATCAGTAAATACCAAAGTGAGGCACTCTGACAACTACAGCTGCAACAACAGTTAACTACACTGTGGGAATCAGATGCTGAATGAAGAGATCAGTTAACTACAGATAGAGCTTTAACAATCAGCATCATAATGCAGCACAAAGCAGAGAGGATCCTAACAGGAATCTAAGGTAGTAAGCTAGGCAAAACAGCTCTCCTGACAAACTGCATGTCTTCAGGTGTTGACACTTCAAGAAAACTGAATACAAATTGAAATTCCCAATAAAACCACTAAGTAGTAGAACAGGGACAGCAATTTGCCTCAGTTCTTGGTGAAAATCTTCAGTATTAGGAATGTTTTTTTACACCGTTCAATCAGTATGACTGACCTAACCTCATGTTACCAGGAGAACATTTCTGAAGAAACAGATCCTATTCAATCACTTCACTCCCTCAAGTATTTAGCTCTAACGGTCAGATTTTAGTGAAAGACAATTCCTCTGCTTCATCAGTAGATGCTGGGGGGTTTTTTTTTATTTATTTTCGACCCACTTCTCCTCATAAAGCAGGTAACACAGACTTTCTATCTTTGGTGTTATTTCTTATCATCACTATTGATATTTAAGCACTCTCCTCAAACTGCATGATCAACTATTTGATCAAATGAAAGGATCCACACTTGTGTGGGAAAAGCATAAGACCAGCGTGAAAACAGCTGGCAGTTTTGCAGCATCCCCTTCACATTATCGTGTAAATTAGATTCTGCTAACTAGTTCTCAACAGTACTAACCAACAGGCTCACATCATATGGGAGTATAGTCTAAATTAAATAGTTAAGACAAAAGTTATTACTTTTTCTTGCACTACAGATAAAAGTGAGAAAAACATGGGCAAACAAAACAAGAAATCAACCTGGGACAGGGGGAATGGAACAGTGTAAGCAGAGGACAGGGTACAAGCCCTTCTCCTTATGTTCATTCCTAGCAATCATAGTTAATCCACAAATAAACAACTCATGTAGTACAAGAATTAGATTAAAAAAAACAAAAACCAAAAAACCACAACAGCAATTTTCAAGACTAATTGAATGCTGGTTTGAATGACAGGAGTTGTAGTTTACCCATTTAACAGCTACTCCAAAGTAAGCAAACACAGTGCCTTCAGCATAAAGTGATGTTCCAGGATGAAGTAGTGGCACTAGCAGCACTAGAAAAATGCTGATGTACCATAGAAGTCAAATAGCACAATGACATCTCATTTGTTTTCTCTCCCATTTCCCTCCCCCAGACTACTGTACCATATTTAAAAGAAAACCAAAGCCCCAGCCTGTGCACTGAAGCAGTGCCTTGTCAGATGCCAAGGAAACCCTGCAATACTGCAGTAATGGTCGTACCTTCATTCTTTGCAACTGTTCTCTAGTGAATGCATGCTGCTTTTGTAGGGATTGATATTTTACTTTCACACTGATCAGTTGTCGTTCCATTTCTGCCCTACGGTCCTCCACCTACAGAACATTAACAATTATTACTATGAAAATTATAACATTTATTGTCATGTGGATAATGAGTTTTACAAGGGGGTGTTACCTAGCAACCCATGTTGGTTCTGCAAATAGTGTTTTTCCAGCAAACGTACTTGAAATGAGGCACTACTGTCAATACCTCTGAGATAACAGTGAGCAGACAGTGCTGGAGCAGCTGAAGCCCAAGCAGTAAAGTGCAACAGATTTTTCTTTTGATATCTAAGTAACATTGCGTATGCTTCAGTGTTGCTGTAGAATAGTTTTGTCCACTGGCATCAGAAGAAAAAAAAAAAAAAAAAAAATAATGTGTACTAATTTAACCCATTCCCTGGGTGCTGCCAGAAAACAAAATAACTCTCTATGCATTTAACAGCAGCTGAACTCCTATTCTTGGAACTAATTCAAAAATTCTCCCAAACATGCAAACATGCAGCCATTTTCAGCATGTTTTTAAAAGACAGCATTTATCAGCATCTTCTTACTTTTCACATACTATCTTCTCCACTAAAGAACAGTTACCAGCTGAACAAAGCTACTAAGAGCTAAAAGCTGCAGGCAGAATTGTCATGAACCCTCAGTCCCATCTTCTATCTTGACAGCAAGGTAACTTTAAGTTATTCCATTAAGTTTATTAATTCCTCAAATTCAGAGCATGCATAAGAATTGTTTTCAATAGGTCAGTCCCTAGACAGTCCAACACTGAAGTAATTTGAGGATCAGAGATGCCTGCTGGCCAGATCAGGTACAAATACTTGAATATTTTCAGTGTAAAATAAGAAATAAAACTTATGAAATATTTCTTCTCTCCTCTGTATATTCTTGGCATCTGTGGAATAATTGTACCTCAGCAAAGAGAGAATTGCCTTTTCTTGTAGGGTCCAGAGACTGCTGCACTGCATGATCCAGCTGAACCTGAAGCTCCTGATTAGCTTCGCGAGCTTTCTAGATTAAAGCAAAGAGGGTATTAGACATTTAAGCATCTGATATACTGCATGTATGAATTTAATCAGATGGTTTTACCTCTTTCATTTCCTATGCCTTTAGCACAGATTATACTGTACTGCAGTACTTAACTGTGCATACAGTTCAAGTTAGTAAGAGACAATCAGTTTTGTTTCACTATAAGGCTTAATATTCCACTTGTTCTTCAAGACCAAAGCACAACTAAAACCATTAAAAGAAAACTTTGACATTTATCAACTGAACTAATGGTATTGAGACTACTAGCCTTGCTGTGTTATTTCATCAAAAATCCTCTACTACCCAGTACAAAATTTTCCAAGGCATTCAGTAGAAACTTGAAATAAAAGTGAGAATTCTATCAGTGACCTCTGAGAAGGTCCCATTATGAGGCAGAATTCTGCTGTGCAAGGATCTCCATACACAGCCATCCACAAAAGAAAGCCAACAGAAAGAGTATTTATCAAGAGGCAATACCAAAGATGATGAGCCAATATCCTCCCCGCTCCAAACTCGCACTTCACTAAAAAGTTAACAGCACAACTTGTGGCATTCAGGGATCATCTACCACTGTCGAGTAACACGAAGAGAATACCTCTAATGCAATACAGTAAGAAACAATTTCTTTTTCCCTCTCTTCTTTCTCTCCCTGTAGACGCTCCAGCTGATTACGTAGGTTACTGTTTATGAGTTCTAGTTGTTCTTTACTGTACTGTAGTTCAGTCAGCTTTTCTTCAACACTGGCCTAAACAAAACAAAACAAAGAAACCCCCAACCAAATAACAAAAAAAAAAAACCCACCAGAAAAACCCACACCAAACCCCAAAAAGTGTAAAATAAAATACTTTTAAAACAATAAAAGAAAAAGCAGGACCATGTGAACCAAACAGGCTTGTCAGTACCCATTACTTTTAATACAAAGTATTATTTTGAAGAGGTTGCATTAAAATGCAGTTAGTAAGGCCGTTTTGTTCAGTACACATTGTCTGAATAGTTAGCCAGTCGTAAGGTAGCAACATACACAAAGTACTGAAAATTGAAAAGGGCAAAAGCACAGGATTTTATCTTCCATTAGCCAACCCTGCTAATAATGAAGTACTAGTCACTCACCTTCACACTTTCTAGTTCAGTGAGTTCTAGCTGAAGATTGAGCATTTCTGAAGACATGGTCTCATGTACACGCTCAGACATGATATGTAATTCTTCTGACTTGGCAGCAATTATTTCCTTCTGATGCTCCACTTTGTGCCTCAGTTGTTTCTCCGAGAGCCGGGTTTCATCTAGTTCCGCTTTCAGGTTCTCCAACTTAAAGACAGTTTATAACTAAGTAGTACCATTTCATAATAAACTCTTGAAACACACAAAGCTTTTGACTGTTCTAATCACAGAAAGTGTCTTAGAAATACAACTTAAGAGCAAACTCCTTAAAATAAGCTATGAAATTTATTGTAATTAACAAGGAACTATGCAGATGTTTGCTAAAAAAACAACCAAGCAAACTCCTATGCATCATAACTATTTGAGCTGGTTTAGTAGTACATGTGCAATTATAAGTTAAGCACATTCTTTTAAAATGCTATTAGCAACATTTTAGCTGTATATTAGTTGGCAAACCTTGTTTTTAAGGTCACTGATTTCTTGTCCATAGACTCTGGCAAGCTGTTCTTTCTGTTTATCCAGTTGCATGTTTTGCTGTTGCTTAAGGGAATCACATTCAAAACTCAAGCTTTCCAACATTCGACTCTTGAGTTCCATTTCTCTCTGGAGAGAGTATTTCTCTTGTTCAAATTTCTGAAAGAAGTAACAGACTAATAAAGATAGATGTAATATTTATAAATGTTTAGGGAGCAATCTACTCAATACAGGCTCAGCACCAAGACACGAAATACTTGTAGCTCACTCAACCTTTTGTTGAAGTCCCAAACAGGGAATCGTCAGACCCATGTTTTTAAAAAACAAACAAACAAACAAACAAGACACAAGAACAACAACAAAAAAACCCACAAACAAACAAACCAAAAAACCCAAACAGAAAAAACCTGCCCTGACATTTTATGACTTATTTGATTGTATTACATTCTCTTCTTCCTGGAAACAGTGTATCTCCGCACCCACCACTAAGGCTGTGGACATCTTTCCTACAAGTGTAACAACGGAGTGAGAGCTTAGGGTATCCTTCCTATCACTATGGAACACAATTATGTTACAACTTGTTACAGCCCATCAAGTGTTCCCCTATGGCACAAGGCTTCAATATCTGGTAAAGACATCTGAATTGTCTACCGCTTTGAAGTAAATCCCATAGACTACACAGACTTTTACAGAAGAGTACAGACTTTTCTGAAAGCCCCTTGTGCCTACTGTTAAAACTTGCATTCACAGTAACTATTTTGGCTCCCAGATTTCAAAAAGAAGAACCACAGACTCAAAAGCTCAAAGGAATCTGCTGGCTAACCATGGTTCCCACACAAGATGTTGTTCCACTGCATGAAAGCAGACAATTCCTTCCACCTGCCCTCAGAATTTAAGTTACCAATCGATCTAGTTCAGCCAAGCTTTGCTCATAATTTTGCTCCAGCCTATAACATAGGATCACAGACTATGGATGCACCTTCTCAACACACTAGCTACCACCGGAGGTTGTCAGCAGAAAAGGATGATCCTGCCCTTTTTCCTTTTCACTTGTACTTTGCAGCTGCAAACAAACATCAAAATTACTATGTTTGTAATAAGTGGAAGAGATTTTCCGGATTGGAATTTTCTCAAACAATTACTATTAAGAATAAGGTTGACTAAGTAATGCCTCTATATTTCAACACTATACTACTCTTTTCTGAGCTGTAAAGAAACACTTTAATAAAATCAGAATCCCTCAGTCTTTAGAATATTTGAAAACCCCACTACAGAAGAATTCAATATTACAGTCTTGCTGCCAGCATTCCTTTTACAGCTTTAAGCGATACAAAGCTTACAGGGAGAGCGTAACATGAATTAATTGCTAAACGTACCCAAACCATGTACTTTAAGACAAATTTAATGTAGCACTTTGTATTCATTTTGCATTCCTACATGGTAGCAAACACTTGATGGACAGTTAGCTATGAAAGCCTGTCCCAGTTAGATAAAATTATGCCCAGTATCTTCAGAGAAGAGACGAAAAGCCCTCTCTACAAATATTTACACTAAAAAGGCTTCTTAAAATTAATCTAGACTCTGAAAGGCATTTAAAACACCTGTGATATTCAGAAAAGAGTTAAAACTTTTTCTACTTAAAGTTTATAATATCACCTCAGTTTTTTCAGTCAATTCACGACGTGCTTCATCCAACTGATTTTGAACTTCATTTTGGGACTCCAATAAATGCAAGCCATATTGTGCTGCCTTCCTTCGCTCATTCTCTGCTTCCTTGAGTTGGTGTTTAAGGCTTAAAATGGTCTCTGTCTCCATTTTTCTTCCTTTTTTTACTTCAACACAGCAAACACAAATGGATTAAAAAATACACTGCAGTAAGTGACAGCAGTTAATCTGAAAGAAGTGATTGGATTTCCTTTCTTAATCAGGATACAAGGATGTATTTTTGCATTAAGACACACACACAAAAAAAGAGACAGCCATGAACAAACACTCCCATGAACAGTAAAGTAATTGCTATTTCTTCAATAAACTTGGTTAACACCTGACTATGTCTTAACTAATAGCATGCAACAAAATAACTCCTGTGTACCAGACAGTGTTCCTAGCCCACTAGAACCAGATTTAATTTTTTATATAGCTATCTCGTCATATATAAAAGAGAAAGTAAGGAAATAACACTGAAAATACACTTCTATGCATATGGCTGACAATACTTCCTGTGGTATTAGAAATAAACCGATAATTAAGTATAGCATTTCTTGTGTACATAAATGACACTTAAGATCCATTTAGGCAGCTGTATGAGGATAGTTTACTCCTAGTAACATTACGTGGGATACAGAAAGAAATAAAGATTAAGAGTCAAAAATAGAAACCCTGTTAAAAGATATGGAATTTTAACACATTTATTTGTTTATAGAGCTTAATGGAGTCCTCCATGTCTTTAAACCTAAGGTAACCTGCTGCAGGTAACCTACTTGTTAATTTCCTCTACCATGTTTCAGAAAATTCATCCATTTTATTCTTGTATCGTAACAGAAGACATAAAGGTGAATTTTGCAAAAATTAGTCAAAATCAATCAAACGAGCAACTTTAAAAAAATAAAACTCAAATTAGCACCATAAGCTTATATGACTGCTTACTCCCAAATCTACTAAATCAGCACACTGCAAACAAATCCTATTAAGACAGAAAACACTAAGCAACTCAGGCTTCTGAACAACATAGAATCATAGAATAGTTAGGGCTGGAAGGGACCTTAAGATCATCTAGTTCCAACCCCCCTGCCATGAGCAGGGACACCACACACTAAACTAGGTCGCCCAAGGCTCTGTCCAGCCTGGCCTTGAACACCTCCAGGGTTGGAGCATTCACAACTTCCTTGGGTAACCTATTCCAGTGCCTCACCACCCTCACTGTGAAGAACTTCTTCCTTATATCTAACCTGAAAGTTCCCCTGTTTAAGTTTAAACCCATGACCCCTTGTCCTACCACTAGAGTCCCTAATGAAGAGTCCCTCCCCAGCATCCTTGTAGGCCCCCTTCAGATACTGGAAGGCTGCTATGAGGTCTCCATGCAGCCTTCTCTTTTCCAGGCTGAACAGCCCCAACTTTCTCAGCCTGTCTTCATACATAATCCAAGAGTTCTCTCCAAGCATGCAGCACCAATGACAGAAAAATAAAGAACATCCCTGCAGTTTATTTTTCAAAGCCAAGGTTCATAACTTTTTTATATAATTCAAAGATTAACATAATTCTTCATTGAAGGTCTTATTCTGTGCTTTTTCTTTTTACATAAAGAATTTAGTTGTTGCCATTTCTCACTGGCACATATATTATTCTTACGTATGTCAGCAAGATGCTGGTATTGAAAGAGCAAATTTCACAGCTCACTACATAAGAGTATTTTTAAGAGTCATTATTGTAATGTACAGCCTTCACTTTTTATTTTTGCTATCTTTTATTTAACATGGGTAACCCTTACTGGTTACTTAGCTTCCTATAAACGAAAACAATTTTAATATGCAGGAGTACATCAAGCCAACACTGTGCTAATCCGTTTCTGAGCTACAAGATAGAAATTATCAAATTCTGGTTTACTCATTTTCCACCACTTGTTGCTGTTATCCAAGTTTAAGTCAAACAAAGAGACTTTATCCAGCCAGGCTCTGAAACCAGTTTTCCAAATCTAACCATTGCAAAGCTTGAAATACTATTTTCACACATTTATGCTAAAGTAAGGCACTGAAGGACAGGAATTTTGCATACCTATAACTAAGAATAAACTATATTATTACTACTGCAAGGCCAGGTACAATTCAATAATGAAGCATTTATCAGTAAAATGTATCAATCCAAACATATAGGTAATCACTCCAGGCACACACTCACATTAGTAAAAAGGATGAATTAATCCTTTTCACTACATTAACAGAATTTTAAAAAATAGATTTATTTTCCAAAAAAAACACCAGTATAAAGGCAACATAGCAATTTGATTGCTTCTAGCTTACTAAACTAAACTCAAGTGACGTTTTTACCTCACCTTCAGAAGTCCATTTAAGTCTTTCTTTACCTTATTCTTGTACTCCACCTTTAGAAATAAGAAAAAAATATATCAACTGTTGTCTAGACCAGATGAGTACAAGCTGCCATTACAGCACAGTCCTCTCAGCACAGGCTTAACGCCTGTGGGTGTCTCATGAAAATGCAGATCACAAGCTAAAATCCCACAGAAATGCAAGTCTTATTCACACTGGAGTTGAGGCAGCTGTCAGATAGCTTAGAAACAGGCAGAGCAGGCAATGTTGCCAGAGGATAGATGATCTGCAATTGGCCTGTGGGGCAAGTAAACAGACTACATCCTTCTAGCAGACATGTCGTTTTTAAGGGTTATTTGGGGATTTTTGTCTTGCTCTCTCCTACTTCTTCTGTCTCTTACGTGCTCTCCGACAGCTTCACATTACAACATCTTTGAGTTCTTCATAAATCATTTACTGGGAGATCTCATAAAAAGAGAACTTAAGCTTTAATTTTATAGTTGAAGTTTCAAACATCAAGGGTGCCTTTAGAGCATAGACATCCTCAACTTTTCATTGTCAATTCTGGATGAAAATAAACAAGTCCGGGTAGCTTTGTTCATAAAGCTGTATTGTTATATAGAGAAGTAATTACCTGTAATTTAATATTATATTAATATAATT